CCCCCCCAGGCCAGCCCGAGCCCCAGCCCGGTGGGCTACAGCCCGATGACCCCCGGGGCTCCCTCCCCGGGGGGCTACAACCCCCACACCCCCGGCTCGGGCATCGAGCCCAGCGCGGGCGACTGGGTGACCACCGACATCCAGGTCAAGGTCCGGGACTCCTACCTGGACTCGCAGGCCGTGGGACAGACCGGGGTCATCCGCAGCGTCACGGTGAGACCCCCGCCCGGGGGGGCTTCCTTTGGCTCTGGGGGATCTGGGGGGGTCGGGATTTGGGGTTTGGGGGGGTCTGTCATGGACTCACAGGCCATGGGACAGAGCCCGGGTCAGCCAGAGTGTCCCGGTGAGACCCCCACGCTGGGGGGGCTGGGGGGGCTCCGGGGGTTTATTTTGGGGTCTCAGCCCCCCCATGTGCCCCCCAGGGCGGGCTGTGCTCCGTGTACCTGAAGGACAGCGAGAAGGTGGTCTCCGTGTCCAGCGAACACCTGGAGCCCGTCACCCCCACCAAGAGCAACAAGGTGAGACCCCCCCCACCCCCTCAGGGACCCCCCAGACCCTCTGAAGACCCCCCTGAACCCTCCCCGGACCCTCCCCAGGTGAAGGTGATCCTGGGGGAGGACCGGGAGGCCACGGGGATCCTGCTGAGCATCGACGGCGAGGACGGGATCGTGCGGATGGACCTGGAGGAGCAGCTCAAGATCCTCAACCTGCGCTTCCTGGGGAAGCTGCTCGAGGCCTGAGAGACCCCCGGGACTCCCCCCAAGACACCCCCCCTCCCCTTTTCTGGCCAGTTTTCTCCCTTTTCTGGCCATTTCCTCCCCCTTTTCTGGCTGTTTTTCCCCCTTTTCTGGCTGTTTTTCTCCATTTTATTCATTTTTTCCCCTCCTTTTCTTCCTCTTTTCCCCTATTTTCTTCCCCGCCTTCCCTGTTTTTCCTCCCATCTCATTTTCTCTCCCCCCCGCTCCCCGTTTTTCACCTCCCCCATCTCGTTGTAACCAGGTTTTGGTGTCAAATAAAGGTCTGGGGGTGCAGCTTCTCCTTCCCCCAATTCTGTGAGGGTTTGAGGGTCCCAGAGGGCATTGGGGCTGGTTTTGGGGGGTCCAAGGGGATTTTGGGGCCAGTTTTGGGGGTCGCCCTTTCCACCCCTCTGTTACCCCCGTGTGCCCATGCGTCGCTCCGACTTCGTGTCGTGATTGGTCACCGCACCCCTGGCCCCGCCTCGCCCTCGCCTCCATTGGCCGAGCTACCTCTCCACCATTGGCCATTTCGCCTATCGCCCCGCCCTCCATCCCTCTGATTGGTCGGTATTGCCGACAGCGTCTCGCTGTGATAGGCCCCCACGGCCGCGCCGGCGCGTTGCCGTACAACAAGATGGCGGCGTCCATGGCGGGGCGAGCGGTGGCCTGGGGGGCCCGCGCGGTGCTCGGGGGGCGGCGGGGCCAGGCCGGGCCCGGGGGCCTCCAGCGGGGACCCCCCGGGAACCCTCATCCGGGACCCCCTGCAGCCCCCCACCGCGCCCTCAGCGGCCCCGACACCGCGGCCGTGCTGCGGGAGCGGC